AAGATAGTACTGCCCCCAGCAATACTATCTTACTGCAGTGTTACTTAATCTATTGCAACCTACTAACACTGCACGTGTAGACAATGACACTTTACTCCACAGCTAATTAGTCTACTCTGCAGTTAAGTGCATGTGTAGATGTGGCCATTGTGTAACTTATACCTGAACATAGTCGATAGGCTTTAAGACTTCCTGGGCAAATTTATAATGAAGACTTCTGTTTCCCAACATCAGATTTGCTCTTCCAACTTAGGTGTAATGAATAAGCAATAGAACCTTATTAACTCATACAGGATTCAGCATAAAGGCAAATATATATGGATATGCATGTCTAAGTGAATGAAATGTGCTTAGGCAGGGATTATATTCAATATAATGTTAATGATCCAAATAGATTTAGTAATCTTATTTTCATATTGCTTTCTGTTCTGTAGATAAATAAAGACGACCTAAAATCACAACACTTTGATGTCAATTGTTTTTCTTTTTTTTACTAATTAAAGAATCCATGAAGTATGACAGGGCTTTCCAATTTCAGCATGACTGGAGACACACATGGCACTAGTGTGCTGCACATCACAAAGGCTACACACTGTGGGGGGCCTCCTGGGATTCTCCTCATTGTGTGGACTGTGCAAGTGACATGTAGTGACCACCCCCTGCTGTGGCCATTACATGTGTCAGGGGGCTCTGTCAGGGTGCCAGCAGGCCACATGCTGGCCCTTCAGAGGCTACTAACAGTTCACGGGCTGCCAGTTGGACATATTTCTAGGTTCAACACTACTTCAATGACCTATGAATTTTATGCCCCAACATATTCGGATTCTTACTGGATAAGAAGCAGGCATGCCATGGAAAAGCTGAGTTACGTGGTGTCCCTTGCATGGCTAGAAATAACAAATTATAGAAAATCTTGCAAAAAGGTAATACAGGTCCAAAAGGCTGAGTAGATTTGATGAGGTTCAGAAAAGTATTTGTAATTTGTAGAGTCTTGTGCACAATGACTAACTTGTCCATCAAACCTTTAGAGGTGTGCTCCATACGGGGCACGTCTACACATGCATTTGATGTGAGATCAGTTTTCTTGTGAGTAAACTACTCATGAGTAAACATTCCCAGGCAGGTGTCTACACATTCAGGGATATGGAAATCAATTTGCTGCTCCTAGCAGGAAAATGCACCCACTTTCTGTGGCTCTGTCTGGGGAGTTTGTTCCCCACTCAGCTCCACAACTCTGGAGCTGAGTGGGGAACAGGCTGGAACTCAGCTCTGCTATCACACAGCTGGGCAGGGAACAGGTTTCCCAGCCCACACCAGCAGTAAACTCCCAGTGCCAGCTCTGGAGCATCTCTCAGCATCAGCTCCATGACAGCAGGGCCAGTGCTGGGAGATTCTTATCTGCCAGCCCAAGCCCTGCAGTTGTGGAGATTGAGCTGGGAGATAAGGATCTCCCAACCCGAGCACCATGACCATAGAGCTGGCACTGGGAGATAAAGATCTCTCAGACCTGCCCTCTGCTCCCTGATTGCAATGGCAAACTGGGGGCAGGGAGATAATGATCTCCCAGGTCCTGCTCCCTGATCATGACCTTGGAACAGGGAGCTAGGAGCTGCCTGTGCAGGGTCACATAGTCTCCACCTGGGCTCCGATGGAGAAGCACATCCTGGCAGCAGGTGCTCCCTGCCCCCAGAAGCTAATCTCCCACCCCCTGGTGGCTGGATGACCATAGATGAAAGTGGTTACTGCACTATTTCTAAATTATTAAGATAATTCTGAATTCTTATACTGTCTTCCAATATGCTTTCAACCTCTCCCATCTTAATGTTATTTACAGATATTATACATGTCCTCTCTACTCCATCATCACACTCATTAATGAAATAGAGAAAAGAACTGGACCCAGAACACACTGAAATGCCCTCTTAGTTTTACAGGAAAGTATTACTAAGCATCCTTTAGGTGCCATTTTTCAACCAGCTATGTACCTAATTTTTTAATTCATCTTGACTATAAATCCCTATTTGCTTATGAGAATATCATGTGGGGCAGTGTCTAAAGTTCTACTGAAGTCAAGTATCTATGGCTCACGCTTTTTCCACTAAGTTAGTTAGGTAATCATTCATCATCATTGTAAAAGTATTAACCACCATTGTAAACATTAATCATCATTGTAAAAGCAGAGTTAGATTAGCTTGACCGGATTTGTTTTGGAAAAATCCATGCTGGCTGTATTTTTATCACTTTCTTTTCCTCTAGGTGTTAAAGTTGGACTGACTAGTCTATAAATTTTTAGGTTCTCCCTTCAGTTTATTTTAAAGATATGCAAAGCCAGTGCCTTTCTCCACTCCTCAGAAACATCACCAGTCCTCTGAGTTCTTAAAGACAATTGTGAATGGTCCAGAGATTGTTTTCACTAGTTTCATAAATACTCTAGGATGAGTTTCTTTGGGCAACTTCAATACATTTAACTTAGCTAAATATTTTTATCCTGCTTTTTCCCCCCTTTTCTCTGGCATCCCAAGCCTATTAATTTTTTTGTTAAAAATTTGATCACAGTCACCTTTTTTGTAAAGACTAAAGGAAGAAACTCATATTTCAGACTTCGTTTCATCTTTTAAATTAGTTAAATAGTGGACCTACATTTTCTTCCTCAAATTTCTAATGTATTTACAAAGCTTTTACTTAGTGTCTTTTATACTTCTTGCTGGTTGTAATTCATTCTGAATCTTACTTTTCTGATTGCATCCCTACATGATTCTGCTATCTCTATATACTCTTACTCACCCTTAGCCATTGTGCACTTTTTCCCACATTGTGTATGATTTATTTTTAATTTCTCAAGCCCACAAAGAGACAGATACTGATGCAACCACACTGGCCTCTTATTAAGCTTCCTAT